TTCCTTGAGATACACATGGAGATGTATGATTAAAGGAACCCTCTGCTATTGCCTCCTCCCGCTCCAGGCTGGACACCCACTATGCATCCAGGTAGGGTGAGTGTCACCCTGATTTTTTAAGACTTTCTAAAGCCTTCTGATGTTTGCATTCTTGTATGAAACTTTCTCACACACTTTTCTGTAAACAACTTATTGTTTGCATTCTTTTATGGAGGAGGAGAAATTTGATGGACTGTTGGTTTGTCCAGTGTCCCTGGAGAGGTGGCACTTTCACCTTCCAATCCTCTGTCACCTTTGGAAATCTATAAATGTAGGAGTCAGAAAATAAACTCTCTCTTTTCCCTGTCTGAGAGCAGCAGCGTGTCTGCGTCGTGTTGTCTTGTGTCCGGTAGCGACAGGTGAGAGGCAGCTCAGGGGCAGCGCCACCCACCTGTGTTGGTCTCCCAGCACCACATTCCCTTCCATGACAGGAAAGACAATTCCATTGGATATTCCATCCTCATGGTGAGTCTCCTCAGCAAGATGCAGAAAAGTCTCTTTTGCACCATGTCCTCTCGTTATCTTTAACCAGTGTGACATTTGTCAGGTGGAAGAGATTGTCCCCGTCTGCTCTTGTGCGACCCCACCTGCAGAGCTGCCTCCAGCTCTGGGGTCCTTAGCACAGTAAAGATGTGAAGCTGTTGAAGCAAGTCCAGAGGTGGCCACTGAGATGCTCCAAGGGCTGAAGCCCCTCTACTCTGGAGACAGACTGGGAGAGCTGGGGGTGTCCAGCCTGGGAAAGAGACCTTACAGCCCCTTCCAGTGCCTAAAGGGGCTCCAGGAGAGATGGAGAGGAATTTCGGACAAGACCCTGGAGTAACAGGACAAGGGAGAACGGCTTCCCACTGCCAGAGGGCAGGGTTAGATGGGATATTGAGAAGAAATTCTTTCCTGTGAACATGGTGAGGCCCTGGCACAGGGTGCCCAGAGAAGCTGCCTCATCCCTGGAAGTGTTCCAGGCCAGGCTGGACTGGGCTTGGAGCAACCTGGTCTAGTGGAAAGTTGTTCCTGGCTGTGGCAGTAAAGTTGGAATGGAATATGTTTAAGGTCCCTTCCAACCCAAACCATTCCATGATTTTTTTAAGTGATTCCTCACTTTTCCTAGAAGCTCCAAGATTGCTGTGTGTCCTCAGGCCTCTCTTGCTCTCTACAGGGAGGTTCAGCTTGTCCCACAGTAACAGAGATGGGGTGTAGTGAGCTAGTCCTCTCTAGCAGGCTCTGCTTTCTGGGCAAAAAACCTGGCATGCATCACTGCCCTGCTTTAGGGCAAATTTGGGAGAAAACCTCCAAAGGGGGCCCCTCCAGAAAGCCCACCCACATGGCCCCTCCCCCCAAGCGGTTTGGGAAGGATTCCTCAGAGAAAAGTAGAAAGAACCTGTTTATTTAAAAGGCAAAGCACTCCCCAGCACACAGAATGGACAATACTGAATGACAAAACTAATTCGCTGCTCTGAAGAGTTGACAATTTCAGAAAGTCTCTCTGGTGGGTGGTCGCTCTGTTATCATTCCCTCTGGCTCTGGGAAAGGCTGCAGATTGGGTCCCGGCAGGCTGCAAAGTGTTCTCAGTGTTTCCCCAGGTCGCAGTCTGGAGCAGGTTCAAATGGTTCCAAGAAGACGGAAAGAAAAACAGTCCAGGCAAAGCTCGGACTGCCTCAGCTAGCTAAACTAACTAACTAACTAAAAACCAAAAGGAGCGAGGTGTTCTGCCCCGTCCGTGCCCAGACAATGGAGACAGCAGACTGTGGAGGAGGACTCCAGTCCCTGATAACAAAACTCTGCACTTCTTCTCCCCATCTTTGCTCTCAGTCAGTCTTGAGGGCACAAAATATAATATCCAGCATAAACAGAACACACGATTTGGGATACAAGCATCATAACATCACCCTAGGACAATCACCATCATGAACTCACTTAAAATGCAACATCAATGTGAAAAGAAGGGATTTGAGAAGTATAATATCACCATAACATTTCTGCTGGTCCCCAGAGGGTGCTCTTGCCCAGGGTTTTCCAGGAAGCTTCCTGTGTGAAGGAGGTCTGGCAGATAAGGAGAGCCCAGAAATATTCTACAAGGAGTCTAGCTGCAAGCTGCAATTTTCTTTTCTATGTTCCTTATTCTGTCCTGCTGCTGCATGGAGTGTTAAGATCCTGTAAGCACCAGCTGTTCACACAGGGAAGGTGAGAGAGGGCATCTAAGGAAAAAAGAGCAAAGAACCTCATTGCATAGATATCGAATCATGGACTCAGAGAATGGTTTGTGATCTTACAGCTCATCTGGTTCTATCCCTCTGCCATGGGCAGGGACACCTCCCACTAGACCAGGTTGCTACTGAGTTCCTGTCAGTCAGCTTTGCTTTGGATCCACAAATAATTTTAATGGTTCCAGTCTTCCATCAGTTTATCCAATTCCTGATTGAACTTTTGGTTTCACAACATCCTGAGATGAACATGCCGCCCTTCCTTTGTCTGGTGCCCCCAGAAACACAGAATCACAGAATAGTCAGCATTGAGAGGGACCTCTGGAGATCATCCACTTCAACTCCCATCTCTGAAAAGTGCTGAATAACCACGTCTAACCATTCCCTGTTCCTACTGCATCCATGTCTACACTGTCAGTGCCTGTCACCTCATTCAGCTCTTCCCTAAGAGTCCTGATCCCTTTTCTTGCAAGGATGCCATTCCCGCTTCTGACCACCCATTTTCTTCATCTCTGTGACCTTTTCCAGTGTTTCTACATCTTTTCTGAGCCAGGCACCAAAGCCACACACACTTGTGAGCTTGCTTTATATGGGGGCAAGCAATATTTTTCTTTCAATATCTGGAGTCTTTTTTATTTTTTAATTACTCATGAACCTTCAGCTGATGTTTTCAGGGAACTGCTTAGAGTTACCTTTAGCTCTTGACTAGCATTAATCTAGAGTCCCCCCAGTGTACAGTGAGAGATGTGCTTCACTTTACCCTTATCAACACTGACTCTCATCTCCAATGGCATCACATGTTTTAGGATCCAAACAGCCTTTTACAAAGGCTCTGCAGCCTACCTGCCCCTGTGTAGGACTCCTGCTCTGCTCCCTGGTTGACTAAGGATCTGTCACCCCCTCTCCCAGGCTGCATGCCCTTTGCCCGTGGGATTTCCCTTCTCTGCTGCATGAGAGCTGCTGGACCAGGAATGAGGGAGTTGTGATGTTCATAAAAGCCTCACGGATGTACTTCTCTGTTTCCCTCAAATAGATGTTATCCCAGAGGACTGAAGTCTGCCTGGGACTGGTGAACAGATGGCAAATGGTTTTGGTTAAAATTCTGGGAAGTCTCTTTTGCACAGCATGAGTGGAGTGTGCCCAGAAAGCCTCTGTATCTCTGACATGTTTGTTTCTTTGTGCCTTGCCTAATTCTTAGTTTCCCAGGACACTCACATGCCCATTACTGCTTTAAAATATATACAGACAATACTTTTAAAATTTCTTCTCTCTTCAACATCTTGACAGGCAGCTTGGGACAGGCTGAGGTTATAATGGATCACAGAGGGAAAAATAGCTGCAGACCCACAGAAATCTGGCTAGAAAATGAAGACATGTTTCTTAAGTGAAGAAATGGTCTGAAAAGGAGGTTTACACCAACCAGTGTAGAAGCTGTCCAAACCAGCTTTCTGTGCATATTCTTCTTCCAGCTCTGGAAAATACCCTGGATAGCTGCTGACCCTTCTTGGATTCACCTGGGTGGTATGGAAAGTATTCAGCTCCAACTACAAACTGGATTAGGGTTCCAATGCCTGCAGCTGTCTATTCTGAGTTTATCCCACCCATTTATATTGTATCTCCATCTGAGGTACCTAAGATCTTTGCTTGGGTGCTTTCCAGGCATGTGTGCTCCTTCCAGGATGTGGGGCTGGGAAAGAAGTTGCCAGAAACTAGAGAGAAAAGAAGTGTTTTAAGTCTGAAATTATATGTGCTGTGTCCTTCTGTGGCTCAGGTCAGTGAGCAGATGCTTGCGACACAGGTCTGGCTGGAATGGCACATTCCACATACTGTATTTATCCAAGATCCACTGTCAGGGAGCAGGGGTTGGTGCATCAAGCCCTGCCTGCCCACCTCTCTCAGGAAACCTCAGACGTGCAGGCAATCCAGGGTGGATTTAGAGTGGATATTAGGAAAAAAATATTTCCTGTGAGGGTGGTGAAGTCTGAGCACAAATTGCCCAGAAAAGCTGTGGCTGCCTCATCCCTGAAATACTCCGGGCCAGGCTGGACAGAGCTTTGAGCAACTTGCTCTTGTGGAAGGTGTCTGTGGTATAGTGGAAGGGGAGTGGAATGAAGTGAGTTTTAAGGTCTCTACCAACACAGATCATTCTAGGATTTGATGATTCTTTGATTTTTAAGGACTACATGACAAGAAGGTGTGTAAATCCCACCATACCCAAACTCATATCTGTTCTCTCTCATATTTGTTGTTTGTATGTCCTCTCCTGCTGGATCACAGCTTGGAGCAGGCTTTCCTGGGGCTGTTTCTCAGCTCGGCACTTGGCTCAGTGCCTTGGCTTGCATTGTGCTGAGCTGAGTGCCTGTTGCTATAATTTTACCTGTTTGTGTCCCTTAATCTGTGTTTGTTCCCTTGAAAGTGCAGGGAGATCCATTAAAGCAGAGGCACTGGGTAAATACTGCCTGCTCCTCACTCCACCAGCACCTGGGATCAGTGATTAACTCCAGGTAAACAGAGCCGACTGCCAGCCAACCCTTGGCCACAGCAAGGGGGGACAGGGGACCCACAGTGCTCCTCCCCAGGTGTGTGGGGGATGTAAAAGCTGGGGTTGTCAGGACACTGCTAGAGCAGGATGGTGGCATAGAGCTGAAGCTCTGGTGCCTGGTGGCCATTGGCCGTGTCTTGCTGATGGTCTGCCATGGGCGGGATCAGTCACCAGCACTATAAATAGGGCTGGCAGTGAATCCGCCCTGGGGAATCAACCACTGAACCCTGGAGCAAGAAACAGACGGTGGCGTAGGCTGGGTGGAGGAGGTGCCTAGGAGGAGGCGTGGTGCCAGTGTTCTGTACTCGGGAGCCCAGCATGTGCTCGATGCCAATGCAGTGTCTGTAGGGCTTCAGCTCAACCGGGACACAGATCACAGTGTGGGGTCAGATCCATAAGGATTCCCCAGTAGGTAGCAGGAATGGCAGGAACTCAGGTGGGACTACCGGGACCTTTCCTGGAGCCTCCGGTTGGGCCCTGCCCCGTCTCCGACTCTGACTCTGACTCAGAGGACGCAGCTGTGGGTGGCACAGGACCCAATGCTGCAGCACAGAACTACTCCCAGGTCATCCACAGTGGCCACTTCATGGTGTCGTGCCCGCACAGCGACTCACTGCCCCGGCGACGGCACCACCGTGCTGAGCCCGAGCTGGCTGATCCCCGGAGTATTGACCCGACCCTCACCCGGCTCTTTGAGTGCATGAGCCTGGAGTACAGGTGAGTCCCAGAGCCTTTGTGTGTCTTACGGACCCCCAGCTAGCTGGAAGCAGGAGGCTAGCTGAGCCCCGTTCCCCAGCCAGCAATGTGTTTCCATCTGACCTTCTCCTCCTCTTCTCCATGGGCTGTGAGGTGTCATATGCTCAGAAATTGCCATCCTGGAAAGTTTCAGGGAGAAAGAGCTGGTACCAGGCTGTTGGCTGTGGAGCCAAGTGAGAAGCTTCTCTGTTCCACGTGTAGCTTGACTCTCCTCCATTTTCCCATGAGATCTGGTGTCACTGTGCCCAGCTGTATTTCCTCCGTGGCCAGACCTAGCACACTCTGTGGAGCAGCAGTGACCCTGTGGACAGCTAAGACTCAGTTCTTTGGCAATCCAGCTCAGAGCAGGAGTCCTGCCTTCTGTCCTTGACTCTGTCCCCATGTCCTGAGGTTACTCCATGACATGCAGTAGCACTTGGGACTGGATGGCTGCATGGGTTTTGTCCAAGGTCTCCTGAAAGCTTTCCTCCTTCTCTCCTGAAAAATCAGATGGGTGCTTGCATTGTTCCCCTGCCACACAAATTGCCAAAGCCCAGTGACAGCTCTTTGGTGACAACAGGACAGACTGCAATGTGTCTGTTATGGCCACAGTCCACATTCTTGGAGGCAGCTCCCCTCCTTTGCCAAGCCCCAAGGTTTTGAGTTCTCTCCAGCATGGCATCAGCGTGACTTGCTCTGCTGGAGTCAATGCCAAACTGCTTGTATAGCTCTCCCAAAATGTCCAAATGTGAAAACCTAGATGATGATATTCTACCACGTGAAAGCAAAACCTCAGCAAAGCAGCCTTGAAGAGGTGTCCATTACCTCATCCAGTGGCTGAGCTCTCAGGTTTGCCTTGGAGTCCTTGAATGCTCAATGCAATAGGGAATGTGATCACTGCCAGGACATCCTTGGGGATGCTGGGCACAGAGACAGCACTTCAAGGGCAGCAGTTCCCACATAGCTGTGTACATCTGACCCATCACCATATCCCAGGATCATCCCAGTGTGCCAGCAGCCAGCACAGCACAGCTCTGCTCCAAGGGGCTGGGGAAGGCAGTGCTCTCTGGGAGCACAGGGAGCCTCAGCATGGGGTGACCCAGGTGAAGGATCATGCTTCCTGGTTGGGCAGGCCACCCCTGAGTGGCACAAACAGGGGTCATACAGACACTGGTGACCTTGCTGTCTTTTCCCTCCCAGCCCCATTCTTTCCCTACCTGAGCCCTGCAGCTTTGAGGCTGGAGAAACCGATACTGTCACATCAGGGTGCTCAAACCATAGACTCATGAGGTGCAAGGCAGATTCAGTGTGCCTCTGGGCTCTGGAGCACCCATGCAGAGTGGAAATGAACAGGGTACAAGAGCTTTGACAGTTGGAGTACTGTGTGTGACTGGGGGCTGGCCATTCCATTGCAGTCAAGGTTCCATTGTTCCAGTTCTCCTTACTCTCTGGGCTCTCAGTGCTTCATTTCCTCCCTGCACTGAGCATGGCAGTGCAAATACTGGCTCCTATGTAATGGGACACTCACCTAAGCCTTGTCCAGCCTGGCTTTGGACACTTCCAGGGATGGGGCAGCCACAGCTTCTCTGGGCAACTTGTGCTGGGATCTTACCACCCTCACACGAAATATTTTTTTCCTAATATCCCATCTAGTCCTGTCCTCTGACATTGTGAAATCATTCCCCCTTTTCCTGTCAGTCTAGGCCCTTGACCAAAATCCCTCTCCAGATCTCTTGGATCCTCTTTAAGCACTGGGGGGGCTCTAAGGTCTCCCCGGAACCTCCTCTTCAGGCTGGACAACCCTAGCTCTCTTTGCCTTTCTTTTGCTAATACATTTTTGACACTTGTAGGCAGCACCTGGAGAAGGGTATCGGGGTGGGAAAATGGAGTTAAGTGTTTTTGGTGAGTTTCTACATTTAGTGTTGTCTCATTTGATACTTCTCTGCATCACTTGTCATTTCACACCTCCCCTCCCAGCCAGGTTCCCAGGTGCAGCACAGCCTCAGTTGGGGTCACCAGCCCAATATCTTCCAGCCCTCAGGAGAGTACCCACAGTTAAGCTCAGACTAACTTCCAAGTTATTCTAGTTAGTTAACTAACCAAGGAGAAACCATTGTAAGCTGGCACCTGGGAGGCACCTGTGGAGTTCCTCATACAACCCTCATGCAGGGCAGGGCTAGATCCAAAGCCAGGTCAGGTTGCTCAGGGCCATCACTTTGACAGATGGATCCCTAGGATGTGACCCCACCAATTGTCTAGCCTGCTCAGGGCTGCCCTTCTCCCACAGGGAATTGCTGTCTGTGGCTCTAGTTTGGAGTTTACCTGTTCCAATTCTTATGTCTGTTTCCCCCTGGCCTTTCTTAGTGCATGTTTGAGAACTGTCTGGCTCTGTCTCCTCCTTAGGACAGCTGATGGCAGTAATTCTCTCTTCACCTTCTTGAGGCTGAACAAACCCATCCCTCACAGTCCTCTTCTATCACATATATTAGTCCCCAGCCACCTTGATATCCTTCTCCAGGATCACTCCAGTTTGTAAACCTCCTTCTCTGTCCATTGGACACAATGTCCAGACTAGGCCATAGCAGTGTGGAGCAGAGGGGAAAACTATGCTGTCCCCTAGTGAGCTGCGACTGCTGCAGCCACCCATCCTTTGCTGTCTGGGCTCACACCATTTCAAAGGTAACTCACTAAACTTTCCCTAAATATTTTTAAATGGCTACAGCTGGAATTCTTCCCCTCTCCAGCATTCCTCCTCTGCATTTCACAGACATTATAGCAGTCCTGTCTCAGCCTAAGCAATCATTCTGGGGATATGACTTATCTTCCTTCCATGGGCAGGGCTGTGCATCACCCCTCACTGGTAAAGAAGTGCTCTCTCCACATCAAGGTTTGCTTTCTGCAGTAATTTGTTTCCTCAGATCCCCCAAAGAGAGGCAACTCCCCTCTATGAGGTCTTCCTCCTAAGGCTAGGATGAAGCAGTTCCTTCTTACCTATATTCCAGGAGCAGTTTCCTGCTTAATGATCCTTTCTCACTCCTTCTCCTGCAACATCCTGCATTCCTTGAATCCTTCCCTAGAATGTTGTTTCTCCCTACAGCCCACCTGGCTGCATATCATTACCCAAAAAGCTGAGGGTAGAGCTTAGCTCCTACAGGAGCTGCTGACATTTTGGCCTTAGCACAAGAAAGCTCATCCTCTCCATCACCACAGTGCGGCCTGCACAGTGTTGTGGCTGGGCTCACACCCCCTGCTGTGACTTACTGTTGGGAATCCCTGACCTGGGGAACATCCTCCTGAAGGAAGGAAAACTGGGACTGGGAGACATGAACTGCAGTCACTCGTGGTCTTACCTGGCAACATTTGTCTTGTGCTCCAGAGAGGAGATTTGACAGGCAGGGACATCAGACTGGGAAGTAACTTGGAGTATACACTCAGCCTCTTTTGTGATTTAAAACAAGGTATCTTGTGTGCCAATTCCCTACTAATTCATCCTCTTTTCAGCCTGTGTCTCCCCTGGGAGAAGTGGAACTGCTGCTATTGATTCTGTAATTCACAGTGCCTTAAATGTTCACACAGGGGTAGTGAACACCAGGCAGAGACTCCAGGGATGTGCTCACTAGGGTTCATAATTCAACCCTATTTTTTTCTTGCAGAAGATCTCCATTCTTAGGGGGGTCTGATGAGCGGGAAAGGCTTGTGCTTGGGCTAAACACACCCATGCTGCACTGTGGCTCTCCTATAATTTGTGTCAGGGATTTGCACTTCTTTCTTCTGTCATTTCCTAAGGTTTTGAGGTTGATCCTGTTCAAGGGTTGTGCAGAGGGGCTGGACTGGTGTGCAGGTGCAGCCCTGCATCTCTCCAGATCACTCCTCTCTTCATACAGCAGCTCCTCTTGCTGCTGATAAAGAGGAAAGTACCCATGTTGCCATGAAATCAGGGACTGCAACACCTGAAACTGCTGGATAGGTAAATGAGTCACAGACCAAACAGGGTACTGCTGGACCCATGCCAGTGTTGGACCCAGGCTGAGCCCTGTTGCCACCTCACCCTATCCCACAAACACCCTGTAGCCAGTGGCAGAATCTGTGTCCCCCTCCTTCTGATAGCATAGGGCAGTAGGACCCCCAACCTGTTTGGGGCACCCTATAACCTTCCCACGGTTCAATGTGAAGTTTGCATCCATCTCCCCAAGGGAGATAATTGCAGGGAAGGGCGGGGCCCTTTCCGAGGCATAGCAGGGAGCAAAGATCAGCCTGTTAAGCCCCAAAACTGAAAGGATCATGAAGGGGGAAAAAAGCATTTGGTAGTAAAACTCAAAGGTATCTTCTACCTCCAGGCCCACAGCAACTCCTAGCCATGGCCCACTGGCCTCACACGAGGCCAAGGTGTGTCCGACAGGCTCAGGCTGCTCTTTTCAGCTGGCTCTGATTGAGGAACATGGCCTTGACCAGCATGATCTGGCCATGTGCCCAGGAATCCTGTCTCTTCCATTGGCTCCTCCACTTGGCACCATCTTGCTGTTTGCCATGTGCTCCTGGGGAAAGTTCAAAATCCTAGTGATAGCAGAGTGGTCAGTGTCAGCCTTAACTCTCTGCAGGCTGGAGTCACAGGTCCTTCTCCAGCCCCTGGGGCCATATGTCAGTCTGGGTCTCTCTTGGGGAGACCATCCTCATCCACTCCTGCACCTGCTCCTAGACACATCCCTACATTAGGTTCTGGAATTGTGGGGGTCCCCAGTCTTCTCCCTCTGCCAGAGGCAGATTTCAAGGCAGGTCAAAACAGAACTCACCAAAATCATTATTTGAGAACACTTAGAGGTTTCACCAGCTTTAATGAACAAGTCATGCACCATTCATTCCTAGCACCTGCCTGGGGACATGGCCGGGCAGCACCTGGAGGGGCTGGGAACAGGGGATACAGCACCCTGACACCAGCACAGCTTCCACCTTTCCTGCTGCACGCATGTACCAAGGAAAAGTGGGAGTCAAAGCAGCACTAAGATATTTAGGGTACAAACTATCTGCTGGAGAGGGACATGGCTTCCTAGGCAGGAATGCCATGCAGCCTGCAGCCAGCTCTCAAAGGACCCCTCGAGAACATGGGATTGCTCCAAGGCCACGCCATGTTGTTGGGAGAGCTGGAGATGTGAAATGGACCCCAAAGTAAGACGGAGGGACCCTGGCCTCCCCCGCAGAGCTCCTTGGGCAGCCGGACCCTCAGGACCTCCTCGGGGGTTACACATGAGGGGCTGTGTTCCTTGGCTGGATGGAAACAAGACAAGGAGTGAAAGGAGGCTTCCTGCAATGCAGGTTCCATCAGGGACATCACCACCATCACCATCACTACGATGAGCTGCAGAACAAACACAGCTGCCTCTGGGAACCAGGAAATGGCAAGCAGGGAGCCCAGCTTGGGCCTGTTTGCAGGGATTGGTGTGGAGAAAAGGCCAGGGCAGCTCTGACTGAGGGCAGGGCTGGTGTCACTATGTGTCTGTCTTGGAGCACAGGCAAGTGTCCCTTAACATCCTGAACATCCTTCAGTGTTGTCCTGCCTTCCCAGACCCTCCACAAGGGCTGCCCTTGACTGCCCCAGCTGAAGGCAGCATTTCCAAGCCTTGCCTGGTGTTAAAGGAAGGGTCAGAATTACCTGCCCAAACAATGTGATGAGGCAAGAGGCACTACAGTACATGTCACCACACATCTCACCTGGGCAGGAAACTGACCTTCCTGTTCCCCAGGGCCAGGACACAGTCAGCTTGGTCAGGAGCAGCAGGATCCCACCTTGAAGCTGGGGTTCAAATATTAAGGAATCAATGCCTCCATGCATTGTACTTTAATCCAAGGGTTTGAGAAGCCTTCTGTGGGAGTGTGAAGCTCAGGGTTTAGGTCTGTGCTGCTCCCAGGGTGTGCAGGAGCTTGGAATGCTCCAGTGGGTGCTCCCACAGGTGCCTAGCAAGCACTTGCAGCAGAGTCACATGGCTATACCTGCTCCTGACCTGCCACCAGGTAGGTGGCCCCTGGACATCTTTCAAGGTGGTACCCCTCAGCCTCCCCTTTGCTTGGTGTTTCAGTGGGAAGCTAGTATCTCCAAAGTGGAAGAATTTCAAGGGGCTGCGGCTGCTTTGCTGGGATAAAATTCGACTCAACAATGTGATCTGGAGAGCATGGTACATCCAATGTGAGTATGGGTGCCAGACCCCACTCTGTCTGCCAGATGCCAGGCTGTGCCAGTGAGATGGGGCTGGCACTGGAAAGACTGTGTACAAGTGCAGAGATAGGGATGGGGCATGGATACAGCCAGCTGTATTCTCCCCTGTGCAGATGTGGAACGGAGGAAAAATCCTGTGTGCGGCTTCATCACCCCTCTGGAGGGCATGGAGGCTGATGAGCACCGAAAACCAGAGGTAGGGCAGGGTCCCTTGCAGCTCTCTGGGGCAGCACCAAGGTTTGTGTGGCACAGTGGGGATCTGGGGATACATTGCATTTCATTGGTTTGCTGGAAAAGGTGTTTCTGATATGACACAAGGAAAGCAGCCCTGACTGTGGAGTGCTGGGGCCAGAGAGCTCAGCCATGACCCTCTGTCCTGCCCCCCAGGCTGTCGTGCTGGAGGGCAACTACTGGAAACGCCGCATTGAGGTGGTGATGAGGGAGTACCACAAATGGAGGATCTACTATAAGAAGCGGGTGAGTGGCTCTGCCCATGCTGCTCCCTGTCCTGTGGCAGTGCCAGCAGTAGGATGGAATAGTGTGACCAGCCTGGAGGCATGGCTGACAGGGCAGGACATGACAGGCTTTTGCCAGCATGGGAGGGGGACGCTGGCTGGCCCCCTGAGCTCTCCCTGCCTGGGGGATGACCTAGGCTGTCTTCTCCTTCCAGCTTCGAAAATCCACACGGGAGGGAGGAATCTCCAGTCCAAAGCGGGTGAGTCTGCTGAGAAAGGGTGGGAAGAGGGAGAAAGGGGAGCATAGTTTGGACACCTGCACTGGGCAGAAGGGCAAAGAAAAGCCCCAGGGCATGATAAGCCCATTGGAATGAGATGATAAGCATCTAGGATGCTGGATTCACCCTCTGGAAGTAGCAATGTGCCAGGCATTAATGTTTGGAGGGACCAAACACTGCAGGAGGATGGAAGCTGCTGTGGGAGCAGCCAGGGAGCCAGAGATGGACCCGACCCATGAAAGGCGTCCACTCAGCTCCGTTGCTCTACCTCATGTAGGCCGAGGATGTCTGGAAGCCAACGGAGAAATGGTGCAACCAGCTCTTCTGCAACGTAGTGCCCATGCTGCTTGGGGATGAGGAGGAGGACCGCGGGAGCAGGCAGCATTTTGATTTGGACACCTTCCTTTCGGACATATCTGACACCCTCTTCACCATGACACAGATGCCTAGCACCCACCAGGTGCTCCCTGAAGATGGTAGGTGCTGCAGACCATGCTTCAGCAGGATGTGGAGGAGGAATCCAGATGTTGTGTCTTGGCTTACCCCCCGAGAGCTGCCAGCCATGTCCCTTTGGGCAGGCAGGGTCCCCTGGCATGTGCCCTGATGGGGCAGGGGGAAGGGATATTCCTGTTCTGCCCAAACAGGAGCCACCAGGGGAGAGGGTGCTTGAGGAGTGTTTGGACAGGGTGGGATCATCCCGTTCTCCTGTGGTTCCCTATGCACAAGCATGCTGAGGGCTGAGCTCCCCAGGGACCACCAGCACCATGAAGGACTTTGCACCAGCCCCGAGGGCAGGTCCTGCTTCCATGGCCACTCTTTGCTGTCCCTACCTGGCCATGGCTCTTTGGCATCTGCAGCTCTAGCCAGGTCCTGTGCCAAGAATCAGCCTTTCACTGGGGTTCCTAGGAACTTGATGAGGCCCTAGAGATGCTGATGGACAGTAGTGGGATGGGATGGGATGGGATGGGATGGGATGGGATGGGATGGGATGGGATGGGATGGGATGGCCCTGGCTCTCCTCAGGGTAGGCACTTATCTCCCTGCCCAGGGCAGAGAGCAGTGATACAGGGTGATTCTGGAGTGACACAGAGGTGTGGCAGCCAGGTAGGTGTCAGGGCAGTGGTGGGAGCAGCCCTCCAGGTGGGTCACAGGGATGCAGTGGCTGGGCTTTGATGTTCCAGCTCTGCCCTCTTCCAGCGTATGTTGGGAATGCTGACATGATACAGCCGGATTTGGCACCCCTGCAGCCCAGCCTGGATGACATGGACATATCAGGTAAGAGGCAGCCTGGATGCAGTACCACATCCCACCCAGCCCTGCACACTGTGACTTCCTAAAACAGGGGGTCACAGATTTGGCCTGGCAGTAGTAGGAATTTCTGAGACAAGCTAAGAGCACTGAACATCTAATAGCATGGGAAAAGCAGCATGGATGGGCAGGGGCTGAAGGCAGAGCCTTGTTGTGCCTGCCTGCCCCTGGAAAGAGCCACAGAAGGTCAGGAAGGGCTTGGCCAGGAAGTGTGGGAGGGGATTTCTACAAAAAGAGGTTATTTCCAGGAGTGTTAAAGGCCCTCATTTTGGCGGCAGACAGAGGAAGGACAATCGTCCCCCAGAGGAAGAGGAAACCTCAAGAGAGTAGGTTCTTCTGAGTCCCCTCCTCACCCCACTGCCCAGCCAGCCTGGGTGGTTGGCTTGGAGCTGGGACCCTGCCCAGGGCTGTGCTACATCCCCTGCGGACAAGTCACTGTCCCTACCAGGCTGCCCAAAGACAAATCTGGCCCTGGTTTCCAGCTGTGGGAATACCAGCAAGTGGGCAGTAGCAAACTGCTCCATGCTGCCATGCAGGCCCTGAGCTGTGAATGTCCATGCAGTCAGATGGGACATGTCCTGGTCGCAGCAGTGTCCCCAAATGCCAGGGCAAGGCACTGTTGGGGACCAGCTTTGCCCTCTAACATGTCAGAGCTGGTAGCCTGTGTACATTGTGCAGGGTGGAAGCCTGCTGGCTACACAGCTATAGTTAGTGGCCTTGGGCAGCACCAGCATCTCCCTGTGTGAGTAGCCTGGATCTCCATGGCCCGTCTCAACTTCCTCCAGGAGGAGGAAAAAAGGGTACTTGCACCATATGGCTGTGGGGTGTTGCAAGACCAGATGCTGGCACGGAGCAGTCTGGGCACTTTATGTGCCAGGGCAGATGGTGGCATGGGTGCCCTTGGGATGGATGCTTTTGCAATAGATGAGGTGGGAAGACTCCTGCCAGCACCCTCTCAACTCATTCCAACCAGAGATCCCATCAGAGTGAGGCATCCTGGGAAGAAAGTCTGTTGCCATGTCTGATGCTTCACCTTCTGTCCCCTGGTGCCCAAGTGGGCATCAGTTCCTAGAAGGTGTGACAGCTCCAAGTGGGTCAAATTGTCACTTGGTAAGTGTTCCCTATCCTGAGAGTTGCTGTCTGCTGTCACAGCAGCAGCTCCAGCAGCTCTCTGAGGGCCCAGCATGGCCTCATGCTCAGCAGGAGACGGCAGGAGCACGGTGGTTCCTTTCTGAACCAATATATCAGCTAGGTTGGCTTTTTTCCTGGGAAAAGGCCTTTTGCTTCAGGGTGCTTCTTGGCAATGGGATGGGTCTTACTACAGACCACAACATCACAAGGAAACATCCCTTCCTGCTCTGACCATGTGCAGTGCCTCAGCCCAGTGACACTGCTGAGGCTGGGGAGGGTCCCCAGTCTAGCTGGGGCTGCTGGTCTGCCAGGCTGGTGTGCCCTGAGACAGAGCAGCATCCCATGGGGTGCTTGGAGACCTGATGGTGGGAGTTTTGTCCTGGATGGAACAGCTCCCTGGGTGATAAGGTGTTACATTTGAGCACTGTGTGTGCCATGTACCTCTGGGACTGTGGGGAGAGTAGGGAGAGGAGATTGGGGTGCTGGGTGCCAGCCAACCCAATTATGTCCCAAAAGGTCACTTATTCAGCAGGGCACGCAACTTTGGAGCAAGGATCACCCAGCAGCCTCATGCAGAGCTATAGAGAGCAGGCATGTGGGGTAGGCACCATGGGGTCACAGAGCTGTTTTTGTGTGGGGTGGTGTGGCAGAGCTCAGTGCCTGTCAGTCAGTGCCTGCAAACCAATCCCCAAATGAGGAAGCATCTTGTGTGTGCAGCGGGTGCTGGAGTGCGGTGTGAGACAGATGGACAAGTCCTGATGGCAGAGGCGAGGGACCAGTGCAGCCCTGTGCCCTGCTGGCACTGTGCTCCAGGTAGGATTGGTGCTGGGCACTGGGGCTGGGCTGTCTGTCCCAAGGGGTGGCAATGCCCTGCTGCACTGCAGGGCTCTCCCGAAAGCCTGGGACAAGTGCTGAAGGGGCTTTGGGTTGGGAAGGCCCAATCACATTGGAGACCATCCCCAAATTTGAGCAGGATACCAAAGGTGTGGTTTGCTGACCATGCAGGCTCTTCTCCCTTGAGCAGGCTGTGCCCTGGCCATGCCGCACTGCCTCGAATGTAACAGGGCGATGCAACACTGAGGAGAAGCGTGGGCAAGCGCTATGGGGTGAGGAAGGGGCAGGAGAAAGGGAGAACAAGGCTCCCAGGGACTGCCAGCCACCTTCCATCCCTGTAGCACAGTGAGAGGCACAAGAGGGTCTAACAGGCATGGTGAGAGGCACAATCAGATCTGGCAGGCTGGGTACCACAAATTCCTTTAAATACCTGCAGAGCTTCAGCGCTGGTGGCAGGGACATGCTGGTGTGAGCATGGCTGAAGTGGGGGCAATGTGGGGCTGGACTGCATCCCAGGAAGGTCAAGCTCCTGCCTGGCAGCACTGTGGCACACACAAAATGCTGGCCTTTGGAGGGGCAGGGATGGCCCTGACATTCTGTCAGGGATTCACCATGGCTGTGGCAGGGGTAAGGGGCACTCTGAGAGCTGACTGGGACATCTCAGCAGTGGCTCTGTCCTGTCTCACATCAGTGTTCCCCTCAGATGGCAGCGCATGGTGTGCTGCAACCATCACCATGCCCAGTCCTCTGGTATCCCACAGTGGCATGTTTGCTCCTCTGGTGTAGATTCTGCAAGGTCTTAGGCTTCTGTGGGTCCCAGGCAGGGCACCCCAGCTGCTGGAGCCTGGACCACAGATGGTGCCCAGAGCATGGCTGTGTACACAAGGTGGGCAGAACTAGCAGCAGGGCCTGGAGCTGGCACTGCCAGTGCCAGCCAAGGGCTGGAGAGCACAGCTGGGTGCTTCCCAGAAGAGGTGCAAGTGCCTGTCCCCAGTGGCTGCTCAGGCACTGCACCTGTGCCAGGGGCTGCTAGGCAGCAAACGTAGTGAACCTTCCTACTGCATCCTACAGGGAAGCATCCAGCACTGCCATCCATGCCCCACAGTCATCCTCTCCATGAAAAACCCTCCCTGTGGTGATGCCAGAACCAGCATTGACACAGGCACTGAGCCAATTCATGGGGCATTCATGGGGCTGAAGTGCCCAGGGAGACAGCTGCTGAAAATGTGGGGCCCGCCCTTTGTGCTGTGGTGTCTGGGCCTGCGGAAGGACCAGGGTTGTGGGAAGGAGAGAGGAAGGGAGTGGGAGTCGCGGCAGGGTCACGCGGCTCGGCTTCAGGAAGGCCATGGGATGTGGTTAGCCACAGGCTGCACGCACAGCAGCACTGGAGTGGGCAGCACAGAACTTGTTGGCCATGGGTGAAAATGTGCTGGAGCTGCCCTGGCCCCAAAAAGTGCAGATTGCCAGTAGCAGGGTATGGTTCCACCCCTCATGCCCCAGGGTGTCCCCCTCCTCTCCGGGCAGGTCACTTATGCCACTGTGTCTCTACTTGGCTCTGTAGAAATCTTCACCAGCCACCGGCCACCCCCATCTCAGACACAACCGGGCTACCAGGATCCATCCTGCTTCTCGCCCATGGCTGAGCCCCTGTTCAGCAGTGGGGGGTCCCTGATGGGTGCTCGAGGTCTGCCTGTGAGTCCTGAGGCCCCACTCCTACCTGGCACCCTCCCCCAGGTGAGTGGAATCCCAACCTTCAGCCTTTGGCTTACTGGTGGTGTACCAGTCACCTACCCTGACCCTGCCATGTCTTCTGCAGCCCAGTGGTGCCTCCCAGCTCAGCCTCCACACCGCCTTCCTGGGGTCTGAGCTGCCCCTGGCCCCCCTGCCCCCCGAGCCCCCCGACATGGCACCCAGCAGCCTCAGCCCCCAGCTCCGACGCAAGCCCACACTGCAGTACGACTTCCCTGGCAAGTGCCTCAGCCTGGAGCCACCAGCACCCCACTATGTCCCCCCCATCCCATCTCCCCGGGCACCACTACTGAGCCTGGAACCCCCCTTCTCCCCCACCTCAGCCCCCCACTCTAAGTTCCCCTACAGCAGTTCACCTGACCCCTCGCTTGCCACCCACCCTCCCTCCCCTCTCTCAAGCCCTTGCTTTGCCCCCTATGTCCCAGGGCTGGGCTATGCCACAGGCATGGGGCCCCAGGGGTACTCCAGCCCTGCTGTCTCCCAGCTCCTGCCCCCTTCCCTGCCGGGCAACCCCAGGTTTACCCCCACCAAGGGGCCACCCCAGGGTGAGGGTGGGCGGCCCAAGGTGAAGCCCAGTGGCACCAAGGCAAGGAGGCTGCCAGGACATCCCCTGTCCCACCTGCCTGAGTCCAACCCCTGCCCCAGCCAGCTCCTGACCACAGGTAACAGGGTTGGGGGGCTGTTGGGGTACACAGGAGTGAGGTGGGGAGCATGCTGTTGTGGGGATCAGAGTGGGAACCCCATTTTTCCCTGGGGTTGGGACACAGGGAATACTGGGCAGGGCACATGGCAGTCCCTATAGTGGGGTAGTTCCAAACCCAGGGGTGAAGCCATGCCTGAGGGATCAGCCCTGGATTCAGTGGCCTCAGAGGGAAATGCAGCCCAGCCCCAGGATTTGGTAACAGGCACTGCTGGGAAGTTTCTGTGTCCCTAGTCTGGTCTCTATGGCCCTGTTGGTACAAGAGGCTGGGGGGGGGGGGGTTACTGGTGTCCTGCCTGATATGCTGCCTGTGGGTGTGATGGGACAGGTCCCTTGGGCACAGTTATGGCCCTCTGCTTGCTTGAGGGCGGCTGGGGCTCCCTGCCTGCCTGAAGCTCCTGAGAACTCCCCTGTGAGGAGAACAGACTCCTCCTCCAGCGGTGCATCCCTGTTCTCTGGGGCAATCCAGTAGAGAAGGGGCTGCAGCAGTTCTGGTGCAGGGAGGGGCTAGCTGTCTCCTGGAGCAGGGAAGGAGAGCAAGGATCAAAGCCCCAAGAGCCCCACAGCAGTGCCCATCTGCTCCCTGCCCCCTCAGCTAAGCAGGACCTGGCGCTGGATACCCCTTGCCCGATAGGTGCAGGACTCATGCCCACGACCCCTGTCTCTGTGGTAAGCACTCAACAAACCCCCAGGTTGGGAATTGCTTCTCCTGGCCTCTGGGGAAGGGGTGGAGATGGGCTCTGGGCATCATATTTTGGTGTGGGCTGGACAGAAATGGAGGGAAGGAGGGGGCATGTGGCTGGGTGGCTGGGGACGGCAGGAGTTGCCTGGGTTTCTTCTCCTGTGAAACAACCAAGGCAGAGGTAAGAGACATCCTGCTTGCAGGGCCCCTTTTCTGGTGCACTGTGGCTGCCCCTGCAGATGGTGGCAGGGGCTGCACATCCTGTGCAACCTGGTGTGTGTGGGGTGCTGATCTCCCAACTCCCCTTCCTCTGTCTTTTCCCAGCAGCAGAGCACTGTCTCCAAAGTCCCTGCCACCTTCCTCTCCAGAACGGCCCAGATGAGCCCAGGTCTGGCTCCTGGCTCCAGCCCTTCGCAAATGTTGCTGCACACAGTGGGCAGGCAGCTGGGCCCCCTGCAAGTCCCCAAGGCAGAGCAGCTTTCCCCCACCTCAGCTTGTGGTGAGTCTGGAGCACCCCAAGGAGCTCCACAGGGCACTGGGGCTCCTGCAGAGAGCTCGGACCAAGCACTGGAACTTTTATTTTGGCTACAATCCTGGCTCTTTCTATTTATCCTGCTGAGCATGGAGGGTTCCTTCTGTGCCCCTTCACCTGCTTCTTTCTCCAGCAGCAAAAGCAGAAATAGGGAAAGACAAAAATGGAGCAAAATGTCGGACTGTGGTTTTGAAACCCTGGAGCTTGGTTTTGGAGCAAGAAGCATCCGCTTTCACCCACAGTAACCAGCGCAGCTGCTGGAAACCAGGCTCTGGTGTTGTCCCCAGTTCATTTTGGTGCTGCATACCACAACTTTGCTGCCCTCGCAACTCTTTCCATGCAATTTCCACCCCAAGAAATGCTGGGAATTTAAAATCTCAAATCCCAGATGTTATCATTTCTGAACAGCTGTAAAATGAGAGGGACTTGGGATAATGTGTGCTTGGAGGCTGAAGTGGAGCATCCCCATCAGCTGAGTGGGGTGGCTTGTCCTGGGCTGGGGACAGCACTGTGGGATGCCCCTCTCTGCCCGTCCCAGGTGCTGAGATGTCACCTTGTCATGAGTGCTGTTGCTATCCCTCTCTTCATAGCAGCACCTTCCCTTTTTCAGGCAGTGAATGGCCCAAGCCCAGCCAGGCTTCCCCAGGATCCACTGCAAGGCAGGGCACTAGCATCTCCCTGCACCAGCCCCTGTCCCGTCCAGGAAGGCCTGAGTCCACCAAGGTATGGCAGGAGCTGCCAACTTCATATGCACCCCCCTTTCCTCCTCCCCGCAAGACACCATCCACCCTCACTTCAAGCTTTGGGCCAGCCTGTTCCCAGTAGGGCTGGTAGCCCACGGCTGTCCCTGCTGCTGGGAGGTGCCTGATGGCGCTGACCTGCAGCTGGAGAGCCGCCGCATCACACACATCTCCGCTGAGCAGAAGAGACGCTTCAACATCAAGCTTGGCTTCACCACACTGCATAGCTTGGTGAGCACACTGAGTGCTCAGCCCAGCATCAAGGTGAGCACCCAGGGCCAGCCCTGGGCATGGAGGGACACGGCACATCACCCAGAGACACTGCATCCCTGCTGTGACCCACAGCACAGAGCTCCTCTCCTGCGCCCCAGCCTGTGGTGCAGGAGGCTGGAGCACACAGCAGGCACACAGTGCGGCTGTGCAAGGGTGGTCTGGGCCCCCTTCCTCTCTCACCCCATGGCTCCTCAGGTCAGCAAGGCCACCACCCTGCAGAAGACAGCCGAGTATATCTGCAAGCTGCAGCAGGAGCGGGCAGCTCTGCAGGATGAGGCACAGCGTCTGCGGGAGCAGATCGAGGAGCTCAATGGCTCCATCAAGTAAGGAGGCTGTGGCTGGGGGAGATGGGGGAGCACTGCCTGCTTTGGGGTAGCCAGGCAGGGCAAGAAGCAATGCCAGGATAGCAGCAGGACATGACAGGTCTCCCTGGAGCACCTCCCATCTGCCAATCCCTCCTCAAACCCTCTCTGTGGGAGGGGTGATGCTCAAGAGGCAGGACAAAGTAGGGCCAGGTCCCACACCTGCCCTGGGGAGGGGGTCATTGGCTGGCAACTCCTGCTGAGCTTCCATAGCTCCCAGCCTCCCGAACATGGCCCCACAATACTGGCTTGTACCCCACAGCCTGTGCCAGGAGCAGCTGCCAGCCACAGGGGTGCCCATCACACGGCAGCGCTTCGACCACATGCGCAGAATGTTTGATGAGTATGTTCGCTCCTCCACACTGCAAAACTGGAAGTTCTGGATCGTATCCTTTGGGGCCACTGCCTGCTGCTCCATCTCACCCTCCACCAGGCACCAGGTGCTCTGGTTCATCTGCTGCTCTGGGTCTTTGAGGTCCCTCAAGCTCGGGAGGTTTTGGGGAGATGTTTCCCAGCCACAGTCACATGATGGGAACATGCTGATATTCTGTGGTTAGGAGGGATATTCTGCTCCAAGGGATCAAAACCAGTTGGATAAATGGTCCTCAGGGAGAAGGGAAGTGGAGCTAAGCTTATGGAGGGAATTGCTCCTGATTACATGGGAACTTGCTCTGAGAGGCAGCAGCCATGGATTAGGAAAGGTCCAGACACAAAGCTGTGGACATGATGGCTTGGTCTTGGTGGCTGCATGCCATACCCTGGAAACACAGGGATGGCGAGGATCAAGGGCCAAGAAACCTATGGGCAAAGGGCTGGATCTGCTCCTCTGTGAGCATGGATTAGACACACTGGGACTCACTGGCAGAGCCTGTGAGGTCTGTGAAATCCCAAGTGGCAGAGTGATGAAAGGCACTGCTGCCCATGGTCCTATCCAGCACAGGGCATCCGGACAAGGCAGAGGTGACTTCTGATGCAGAGCTGGGGAGCTTCTTCCTCAGGACAGGGGGTATTGTAAAGCCAACATGGGCTCTAGCACATGCTTGTGGTGGAGGGATATCTGTGGGTTACTGCCTGCACAAAATCTGCAGGCTGGAAGTAATAGGAGAGCTTATGGGACACACTGGTGTCCTGCCTTGTCCATGAGCACTTTGCTAGCTGGCTCCCTGACCTGCTCTGGAGGACGTGTTGTGTCTCAGCAACCTTTTCTGGCAGCCCCAGCCATGAAAAACCCCAGGGGTTTTGAATCTCTCCCACTGCCTACCCAGGTGACACTTAGACCATCACCCCAGCAGTCTAGGCTAGTGTCAGGTGTGGTGCTGTGCTGGGAAGGAAGTCAGCAGGTCTGTTCCATGGCCTGTCCTGCTGTTCCAGCAGTTCTGCTCCATGTCCAGACAAGAAAGTCTGTCCTGCTGCCATAGGAAGGTCATGCCCACACCTGGGAGGAGTGAGACCATTGTCATAGCCAAGCTGGTCCTTAACTCCTCTGATCCCACCAGTTCAGTATCATCATTCGGCCCCTCTTCGAGTCTTTCAATGGAATGGTGTCCACAGCCAGCATGGAGAGCCTCACTCAAACATCCCTCGCTTGGCTGGACCAGCATTGCTCCCTCCCAGCACTTCGGCCAAGTAGGTGGACCTGTGCCTGGCTGTGGCACCCTGAGCAAGTTGGGTAGGCATGGACTCCTCAGTCCATGAAAGGCACCCTCGAAAGGCAGAGGGGAAAAGGACAGGGGTGTCCTGGGGGACGGAAAGGCTGATCTGTGGGAAGTCCTGCGGCTCCTGCTCAGTGATTTCCCGTGCTCCTGTCACACCCACGCCCCGGCTGAGCCGGAAGTGCCCCAACCCCGTGTCCTGGCAGGGCAGGCTCAGCCCTCCCCAAAGCCCCTCGGGGTGGGTTTCCTTCCACCGCGTCTGCTGGGGCTGTGGAAGCAACCAGTCCCACCATTCCGGGGACTGGAGCAGGGCCGTGCAGCGCCGTCTTCCCCAGGATGGGTCACGCCTTCCAGCCCCCTGTCCGCTATCCCCGCAGCCGTCTTGAGTTCCCTGCGGCAGCTGAGCATCTCCACCTCCATCCTCAGCGACCCGGCCCGTGTCCCCGAGCAGGCGGCGCGGGCAGTGGCGGCGCTGGGACGCCCCGGCGGCGCTGGGACGCCCTCCATCTGACTGCTCCAGGGACTCCGGGGTGTCCCACGGGCACCGGCGTGGGGAGTCGGGACTGCATGCGGGCTGTCCCGCGCCTGTTCCCCTGCAATAAAGGTCTTGCTGTGCCACGGCCTCCGCGTGGTTCTTCAGCCCCGGCACCGCTTTGGCACGGCCGGGAAGGGCCGGGACCTGAGGGGGGTGACACCGAAAGGCGTGAAAGCCGGGACTGGGACGGGAGCCAGGGGCTGGGGGGAATGGGGGAAACCGAGGTTGGGGGCAAGTGAAGGAAGAGGCTGTGGGGGAGTGAAGGGAGGTGCGGACAGAGGCTGGCGAGGGCGGGGGGTGGGTTAAGGTAAGAGCTGGCGGGAGGTGATGCCCGGGGTTTGCGGGAGCAGGGGCTGTAGGGGAGCCGGGGTTGGGGAGCATGAGGGCAGGGGGATGGGGTTGGGACGGGGACCTAGAAGCTGTACGATAGGGCACGGGCTGGGGTGCTCAGGTGCTGGGGGAGTGCGTTAGAAGAGGGTCTGGGGGGGGTTACGGGGCTCGTGGGAGGCAGGGGCTGAGAACAGGGGCTAGGAAGGGGTCAGGAGTGTCCGTTGCCGAAGCGGGGGACGGCCGGGGCGGGGGGTGCAGTACCACCGCCAGAGGCCGCCCTGCGCGTGTTACCGGGGTCGCGTATGCGCACACGGAAATTCCCCCGCTCCTGGTACCGGCCGCTGACGCGGCGGCGGGAACATGGAGGCGGCAGCAGTGCTGGGTGGGTCGGTGCTGCCGGGCGCTCTCATCGTCCTCATCCTCGTCCTGCTGCTGGCGGTCGCGCTGCTCCGCTCTGCTCCGCGGGAGATCCCCACCGCCCCGCAGGACGGTGAGTACCGTGCGGACACTGGGGCACCGGGCAGCGCGGAGCGTAGCTGAACCGTACCCACCGACCCCTCTGCTCCCGCAGAACCCAGGGCGAACGGGCACGCCAGGCCGGAGGAGCCACGGAAGGCGAAGCAGGCGGCGAGAGCTCGCAGGGAGAAGCGGCACCAGCACAGCTTCGCACACCAGCTGCTGGTGGCTGCCCTCAAGGTACCGCGTTTGCACGGGGCCGGTGCCTTCCCGGTGCTGATGCCAGTGTGCTCCTCGGTATCGGTGTCCCCCCTCGATATTGGTGCCCCGCCGGTGCCCCGTCCGCCCCCGGTGCCGTTGTCCTGCCGGGGTCGGTGCAGGTGTCCCTCTCGATGCTCGTGCCCTGCCTGTGCCGGTGTCCTTCTTCCCCCCCCCGCCCGGTGCTGGTGTTCTACTGCTCCTCCCCATCCCCTCCCCTCATCCTCCGGGGGCTCTCTGTGACCACTCTCTCTCTGCAGGGCCACAGCAGCCCAGTCACCTGCCTGGACTTCAGCAGCAACGGCAAGTACCTGGCATCATGCTCCGAGGACCGCACAGTGCGGTTGTGGAGCACCCGGGACCTGGCAGGACGGGAGCACCGCTGCCTGCGCGCCAACATGGGGCTGGACCATGCCGAGCTCGTCCGCCTCAGCCCCGACTCACGGTATGGCCAGACCTTGTACTGGCACCAGGATGTCATGCAGAGCTGCCAGTCTCATGGCCAAGCTGTGGTGGGATCAGTGGTGTTGCTCTGGGATGGGTGGAGGCAGCATCTCTCACTGGAGCATCATGATATCACTGATCCATGGCTTTTCCTGAGAGCAGCTGGAACTTAATCACAGAATCACAGTAGTTCGAGTTGGAGGGGACCTCTGGAGATCATTTAGTTCAGCTCCTGGTGGGTTAATGTGGTTTTCAGGGTAAATATCCCTGCACCCAGGTTGCTGCCCCTATGGAAGGTACCTGTTGAGGTCAATGCCAGCTGACTCTGTAGCTAGAATGTGCTGCTGAGTCTCTCCAGTGGTCAGGGGAGCTCTTGCTGGCTGGGAGATTTGGTGGAAGAATGTGTTTTGGCTTTTTGAAGTGGTCTCTTTTAGAAAGAGAGGAAGGGATCTTATTTCCTGGTGTGGATAATAAATTTCAATCTTTTTCATTCAGTGTTGCAGTTGAGCCAACACAGGGAGAGAACTTGGCCCTTGTAAATATTGTTACCTGGCACCATATCCCTCTTCCCAGGTGCCTCTGAGTGACCTGGGCTGAGCTGGGGCTCAGAGCCTGTCCCTCCACAGGGCTTTCATTGTCTGGCTGGCCAGTGCTGAGACCATTCGTGTCTATAAGATGACCAAGAAGGATGATGGCAGCTTCACCTTCACTGCGACTTCTGGGGACTTCCCAAAAAAGCACAAGGCTCCTGTCATTAACATAGGGATTGCAGAGACAGGTATGGAAATGAGCTGCTCACCTCTCCAGATCAGCTTTGATTTCCTTGTGAAGCTGCTGGATTCAAAGTGTTGGAGTTTTTGGCATTCTCAGGGTTGTGTACAGCACCAGTACTGAACTCTGTAGTCTATTAGTTTTTGGGGTTTTTTTGACTTAATTTGCTACCAACTGAATCAAAAGGTGTTGTTTTCACACTAATAATATCCCTGTAACCAGCTCCCCGATATGCACAGTTTCTTAATTTACATTTTCAGCGATGCTGTTGCAAAGAGGTCTGGTCTCAATATTGAGAGGATTGCTGTTCTCTGGGCTGCCAGTCCCTCTTTAATCAGTCAGAAATCTCTCTAGTGAGTTAATATAGTCTGTCTTGAACTTCTGGGATCATCTAGAACAGAGGTGGAGGTGGGTGGGTGGAAATTACATTTTAGTAACGACGGCTTGATGGATTAATGTGTCAGGTATGTGCCAGTGGCAGTTGGAAGCAGGTGGATGTGAGTTCAACTCTGTAATAGGAGAGCAGGGAAAATGTTAACTGAGACTGGAGCTGTGAAAGCGAAAACTTAAACCTGCAACAAGTAGCTGGAAGGTAAACAGGCAACTCCCTGCCTGGGCTGAGGTGGAAAAGGGGAAGTGGGAACAGGCAGGAGTCCAGCACGGGCACAACCAGCGATCATGGATCATGGTGTTGTGGCTGGGATTCAGTTGCCAGCCTGCAATCCACAGCTTGAAAGGTGCTTATCCTTAAGCTGATTTTGGGCATGCAGGTCAGGTGGAGTGTTTGTTCCTGTTTGTGGTACAGCCCAGTGGGCCTGCACATGGGGCTCCCAGCTCTGCTTGTGGTGCTGAAGGTCCCGAGTACAGGGCACACATGGGCTCAGTGTCTGCTGCCTGCACAGGACCCAGGGGAATACTGAGGCATAACCAGGAGCTGAGTCTTCTGATATTGATCTTTACTCTGTTCTAGGAGACTGATACTCCTTGGATTTTGGTGCTGCTGCTGGTTTTCTCCAGCTGCAGGGAGAGGTTATCCTGGGGCTTCATTGAGTTGGTGGTAATGTTAGATCTGGAGGCCCTCCTGATCTTTGCCTTTTTTTCCCCAGGGAAGTTTATCATGACAGCTTCCAGTGACACCACCATCCTGATCTGGAGCCCAAAGGGTGAAGTCCTGGCCAGCATTAACACCAACCAGATGAACAATGCCTATGCCACAGTGTCACCCTGTGGGAGGTGAGTGACAGGCAGGATTCCTGGCTGCTCCTTTGCACAGGATAGCATCAGTTTCAGACCATTGGGAGTTAGTTGTTATTGTAATGCAATTTTCTGAGGGTTCCACAGTTTAAAAAGGTATTTTGGCCTCCCCGGAGATGGAGCTGATGTGGGGTCAGGCACTCTTGTGTTGCCATCCTGCCTCAGCACTGCTGTTCTGGTAACCTGAGAACAGCTTTGGCCTCAGGTAGCTGGGGTGGGATAGAGCAAATGCCCTATGCAAATAAAACAGCATTTTGAACTTGTCTGTGACCTCTTAAAGGTTAATTATAAAAATAAAGGTTTTATTTCTGGGAGATCTGTTTTTCGGGAAGATCACTTGCTGGTGTAGGTTGATTTGCCTTGCTCCTGGTGTCAGGAGGTTGGGGATCAAAAGCATTTAGCTCTTCTGCTTTGACTGGAGAGTTTCTCATTCCTGAGTTGTTCTGGTGCCCTTCCTTAGTGTTCATTTTACCAGCCAGGTTTCAGGGAAAAGTGGAAATTCAGCTGACCAGACTTGAGTGCAGGAGTCAGGACAGGTTTGCAGAGCTGTGGCCCTGCCTTGCTCAGGTTCTCTGTAAGAGGCAACCTGTGTCTCTCCTTATTCCTTCACACAGGTTTGTGGCATCCTGTGGCTTTACCCCCGATGTGAAGGTGTGGGAGGTGTGTTTTAGCAAGAATGGAGACTTCAGGGAGGTGACCAGAGCTTTTGAGTTGAAAGACCACACTGCTGGTGTACAATCATTTTCCTTCTCCAACGACTCAAGGAGGTATGTGTGTGTTACCTGCTCTGAGTTACCCTAATAGCATGTGAGTTCATTTCTTCCAGGGTTCACCAGCTGCACCACTGAGCTGCAGGGGGTAAAATACTGCTCTGGGGAGCCAAATCTGGCTCGTGCCACCTGTGTATTCCCTGCTCATAGGAATCTCATGTGGTTTAACGAGACCAAGTGCTGATGCTGCACCTGGATCAGTGTGGAGGCAGATAGGCATGCCAAACCTCCCCCTTGGAGAGGTACCCCTTGAATGGGCTGTGACAAGATCTTCTCAAACCCTCCTGGTTTGAGAAATCCTCCTTGGTCATGGTGGGTTCCCAGCATGCTTTGGAACCCCGTGTAGATTTGTTGGGACCGATTGGTTTTTCCCTTTTGTACCACCTCCACTTTTCCCCATAAAACCCCTGCTTCTGCCCTGTTCAGGGGGGAGCTGTTGTCCCTGGCCTCCTTTGCAGGGTGCTGGAATAAAGGAACTCTGTGGAATAACTACACAGCGCTCCTGTCTCTTTGTCCCTGTGTTGGCCAGGGTACACCTCGCAAGGCAGAGCTGAAATCACTGCTCGGAGCTGAGCTGCCTGCCCCTTGCTGAGGTTACTGCAGGACTGCCTGAGACCCCTAGAAAGTTTTCTCTTGTGGGACCTCTCTCTGGGAAGGTTGTGGCATCCAGGTCAAGCCATCAGACTCCCGACTTGGCCACCCAAACAGATCAGGGCAACCCCTGGTATCAATCCAAGCGTGGGATGAACAGACTGAAAGCAGCCTGCGGGTGCTGGTGAGTGAGAGGTGGACATGACC